CAAATAAAACACCTCCAACCCATGCTGCCACCAGCCCCCCTCATCCCAGGACCCCTTCCGTGCTGCCAAACTTGCCAGGTTACATCCAACGTCCCGACCAAACCTACAGCTGTTACCTGGAGCAGTACAGAAATTTTGCTGTACCAGTAGGAAGGGAAAAAAAATGGGTTTTTCACAACATCAAGCAAAGTGCCTTGGGTTGCACTCTAGGATAGCTGTGCCCTGGCAATCTTTTGGCTGCATTTCTCTCTCTCAGGTTGTGGTTTGGCATGCTGGGGGCCAAGAACTTACCAGCGAAAAGAAGATCCCCTTCCTGCAACCCAACCTCAGCTCCTGCTGCCGTGTCTCAACCAAGCCAATTAACATCCCCTTGGCGCCCAAGCAGCCCAAGCTCCCCTAGGAGGGCTTACCTGTCGTGCCCGAGACCCAGCCAGCAGCAGACTGGGACCCAGAGCTGGCAAAATCATCCCAGCAGCTTCGAAGCTTTTGGATCAATTACCCGGCGGCAGCGACCGGCTGAGTTTCTATGGCAAATTCTACCCAGGCACCGTAACCCAATCGGCCGCTCATTAGCGGCGCTCCGGAGAGCAGGGACCATGCCGGCCGCAGGGACGGTTTCGGTTGACACTCGCTGCCTGAGGAACCGGCACGGGACTTTTTGGTCCAGCTCAGCCTGGTTCTGGGCGAGATCCCCATGGGTCCTAGAGCAAACTCACCCCGGCTTCCCACAGCACCCGGGACACGATGGCGCGAGGGGAGGCTCCCTAGGAAAAGGGAAGATGAGGCTGGGGGCTCCTGTAGGAGGCGAAGGGATTGTGCTTTAGAGGAGATTGCACCAAAGGCACCAAAGCTGGGACGTTTTTGTGGGTCCCTAAGGAATTACACGGCTGGCAGCGGGCCCACTGGGAACGGTGGAAAACAGCTCAAAACTGCACCCAACTCACACGGTAACGAGCTGGCCGGGGCCGTAAGGTGTCAACGCACAACTCCGGGATCTGCAAAAATGATTTAGCGTTTATTTCTACCGCCTTGACCTTCGTTTTCTGCTGCGGAGGAAGGGAGAAGGCCGGCCCGCACGGCTCTCCCCAGCGGCCCCGCCGCCTTCAGGAGGCCACGGCTGAGGTCCCGCTCGGTTTGGGGACGCCTCCCGGTGCGTTGCCCACTGGCA